CAAGATATCTGATTGGCTGGTCCTGGCTCTAGTTGCATGGACCCACCTCCTCTACAATCTGATTGGTTATCTCTCTGAACCAATCATTTTTCAGTCTGCTCTCTGAACATTTTTGTGTACGTATAACTCCCATGAGTTCCCTGCAGCTGTCAGGCCTCAGTGCTCCTTACTGTGCCACCTACTATAAAACGGAGAGCTATTTACATGCAATGAACTGGACGATGGCCAAGCCAGACATGAGTAATTAATCTCTGCATAGCGTGAATACCTGGCTCTGCTTGACAGCGAGCAGACCCACAAGGCTCTGACTTCAGAGGGTGGATTGGGGTGGTTTTTATTTCCAGCCCTAGGGTATTTCAGGCGGGCTATGCGTTCTCGAACATAATCGCACAGGCCAGCAAAGTCTCAAGGGTCAGTTTCTCTCAGCCTCCCCTCCTTTCAAAAACACAGCAGACTTCCATTATGTCATTAATAATTAATTACAGGTGTGTACAGGGGCAGTTTATAGCTCAGCAGGTAAGGCCACTGTGCTTGCGATCAGAATGTTACTGGTTTGAATCCCATGCTGGGCAGAATAGTCACATCTCCTTGATCAAGAACCTTGAACCCCCAGCTCCAGGAGCACTGGATAAATGGTTGACCTTATACTCTGACCTCAAACCTGAATGTGTGTGTGTGTGTGCGCTTCAAAAGAGAGCAAAAAAATATGCAAATAGAGGCATGCAAATAGATACTTAGGTAAAAGGCAAATAAAGCATCATTTCACTGTGCTCCACCCAAGGCTTCCACACCTCCCTGCAATTTACTCACAGCACTGATCGTACCGCTTCGCATGCTTAACCTTAGGTGGGCAAATCGTTTGATAATAGGGGCCAGCATTCGGAATACTGCTTGTTTGGAACAGCCTGTTCAGATGTTTTTTTTTCTTTATGGCTTCTGACCTCTACTGGCTCAGATTGCAGCCGACCCAGATTGCGAAAAACGAGGGAAAGTTCTAGAATGAAACCTCGTGTTTTGGTGATGGAAAACAGATTTAATGTGTAATTGTAAGGGACTGTTTTGAGGGACTGTTTTGAGGCATTTGTTCATTGGTGTAAATACTTGTTTCTGGAGAACATGTTCATGTTCTGCTTGTATACCATCTTCCACATTCTTCTGGTAGGTTTATCTTCACCTGCTCCAGCATCTTGAGACTGTAGTACTGGCGAAGCTCTCAAAGTGTGTCGTTCACACCCACGGCTTTCCATTGGCTGGCTTCCTCTTGTTGCTCTGAGGAATCCTACAGGAACGAACACCTGATTGGGTGAATGTGTGTCGACAGTGCCAGTCAACCAATTACTGTTGACGCCCATGGGCCAAGGGCACCACCTTCTGAGAGGGCACAGGTACAGCCTTCACTGAGCCCGCCTCAAAAGGAAAGCTTGCCTAAGGTTCCATATTGGTTCCGATCAGCACCGTACGTCAACCGCAGAGCTGTGACACCCCTGATGTCTGAAACATCCATGTGGCGGATGTTTGCGCCGCAGCGATGCTCTGGTCCGGGCCATTTGAGGGACCTACCCATCATGCCGCAGTGCCAAACAAACTTCCACTGGTAATTTCCTCCTCAAGCTGCTGGGGACAAAAACACCATCACAGATTTTCAAAAGCATATTTTTGCTACCTTTTGTCCATTTCTGCTTCCGGCTAAAAGCATCGGAAGTCTCTCAAAGAGCCGTGCCGAATGACCTTGATGACCGATGTGCCGAGAGGTCGGACGGGTAAATTTTCTTGTGCGTCTCCTTTCTCCGACGGGCCAGCCGAGTGAGGCCGAGCCGGTTTCCACTCTGTCCTGCCGTATCGATGGGACGCGGGAGAGCATTTTTCTTGTGATCTAGTTACGGCTTTTGGCATGAAGATGGGGAGATCTTCTGAACAGAGTGTTCTTCAGTGAGGGATGTGGCCTCTTTAAAGGGTATAAATTATATTTCTGGTCAGGGGTAACGTTTGGGTGATCCATTTCAGCAGATTTGAGATAGGTCTGGCTCAAAATCTTAAGAGGAACGCTCGTGTTACATTTTCAGCCAACACTCTGTCTTGAACATATTTTCCAAGACAACAGCCCTCCCCCATGGCAGTAATCAAACACACGTGAGCATTTTTGACTCAGTAACACTTTCCAGTAAGTTTTTCAGCAAGTCACATGACTTGTGCCAGCACCAAATTTGTGTGCATCCCACATTTAAATTGAATTTAAAACACCAGAAAACTTTTGACCACTTCTGTGGTAACAGCTGCATAAAAATCCAACAGAGGTCTGTTGTGCGAGCATTTCTGACTTTGTAGGAATAGGATTAAGGTTGAAGATCCAGTTGGCTTTACTGAATATTATTTAACCAGAACTGTGAATAGTTTATATTGAGATAAATGGCATTTTGACTAAGTAACGAAGGGCATTCGCTGAAGGTGCTCTTTTGAAAGCAATATGCATCATCCTTACATGTAATATACATCTTATATGTACCCTAATTTAAAGGGGTTAATTACATGTTTCACGATGTACAATGTGGACATTTTAATGGTCTGAAAATGAACTACTAAGAGTCTTATTTATTTAAATGTGTCTTGTGACTAGTAATAGCCTGTGATGTAATATATTTTTATTGCGCCATTTAATGAACAAAATATGTCTGTGGATTTTAATTTCTCCAGAGAGGGTTATTAGTGTGGGATTTCTGTCTCATTTTAATACTTTGCGAATCACACAGGCTAAATAAAATCAATTTGAAAATAGATCTGAATAATTTCACCTAACGTGTACGTCAACTGTGAGTGAGCCATGTAAAACACAAGGGTCAACGGGCAGCGAATTAGCCAACCAGTGAATTACCCACATCCTGCCTTTATATTACCGTTACACGAATATTTACCACTTTGAGCCGTTATGCGCCCATATTTATCAGTCACGGGGAGATATTTCATTCTATTTCCATCACAGGTATCAGCTGGAAAACATTATTCTGAGCCAAATCTGTTTTAATCTCCTTCCATCCATCCATCCATCCATCTTCAAACCTCTTAACCAGAAGGGTCACAGGAAGAGTGAATGATATTAGGAAGCACAAGGCAGCTTAACATCCCTCATTTGGGTTTAGTTTGCCAGTCAAAGGCATCAGCTGGGTAGATCGATTATTATTCCTGATTGCACTCGCTATTTAGAATGATGTATTTGTACAAGCGGAGGATCAGAAACTAATCAGGACGACCGAGTCGTTTCCAAGGCGCACGTGATTTTCTCTTCCTCTCCGGTGAATTCTCTAGTAAACGTTGCCTCGCCAGTGGAGGAGGGGCTCTGTGAAGAGAAAGCTCCTGCACAGAGTGTTCCTGCTGCGGCAAGACGCGAGCAGCTATATCATGCAGTACGTCTAGCGATCGTCCTTATAAAGGGCTCTGTTGATCACCCGCTACGTATTACGATGTACCTCAGAGTACATGCCCGTCTCCACCTTGTCATTTTACTGTTTTTTTCTTTTTTTTGGCGAGTTCTTGATATTGACCTCAGATGACTTCACAAAACCTCGAGCTTCAAAGATCACAACATCGTTGTTTTTTTTTTTGTTTTTGTTTTTTTCTTGGCGTGGCTTCAGGACAGAAGATTGCCTGACCTCACAATGGACTCAGACAAATAGACGCGCCGTTCATGACCCTGGTGCACCTCTAAAATCTCTGAAGTGTGCTAAAGACTATCTTGGTCTCTGTTAAACGAAATTAATTCCCACACAAACTCCAAAATGGGACTTTAGTTCCTGGACCAGACATGGTAGTCTGAGTTTCCTGGTCTTTGAGACGGTTGATACTCGCTGGACCAGGGAACCACAGAGCGTTTACAGGAGTCACAAGCATCCTTCATCCCCAATATACACCAACTTAAGTAGGGTCCTTGGAATATGATGGACATGTAGAGGGTCTATTCAGTTTGTATGTGACTGTAACACAGATGTGCATGGGTCCACGGTCCAACCGTCGCGACAATTCTCAAAGTAGTGTTGACAAGAAGGTTGTTTATTCAATATATACTTATTTATATTTACGGAGAACATAAATCTATCCACCCTTCCAGTGCATGTTTGTCCAGTGCATGGTTGCAGAGATAAATTTACAAATATGGGTACAACATTAAGTTGTCCTGTTATTAAATAAGTTGTTCTACCAGGTGTTACATGTATATAACTGCCGATTGAGCCCTGTCTGTGTTTCAGAATGTAGTGTCTGACTAAAAGGTTCCACGGTGCCAGTAGGTTCAGCCACATATTGTGCTGCTGATTCTTGGTTCTTCTTAAAGGGCTGATATGAGTGTCACATAAAAGTAGCCTAAGGTCATGCGATCAGTAGATTAAAGGCGTTCCTTAAAATGAAAAGTCGGTTTAGGTTTGTGTAACAAGGTACTCAGCGGATTTCCTGCCAAGTGGAAAACTGCACCTTCATCTTCATCATCAAAGAGCCACTGATCTTCACAAGCTGTGGGATTCATTCATTCATTCATTCATTCATTTGTTGTCCCAGGAGCCATTACGTAATGTATGCTCACTGGCGTCTATCACTGGGCTTGAGGCACGGATCTACTGGTTGGGTCACCAGTCTAACACAAGACACTTCCTATGAAAGCTGGGTTACTGCATTTCAGGTGTCAAGGGTGTGCTAGACTGACCCTGTGTGTGTTAGCTAAGGTACCGGCTTAGTAACTTTATCAATAGCTCAGTTCAACTGTTGCAAAACACAGATGTAGATTTCACATGTTACCGAATTGAAGCAACAGATTCCTCGTGCATTAAGGGGAAGGTATGACGTCATTGTATATAGCTAGTCTTACTGAACGCAGTACAAATTAGTATTAAACATCTCTAACATGAATCAGCTACGCTTTCTTGCCTGTCTTTTAGTTTAACTGTGTACATACACATTTTTATTTTTAAAGATGCATGTTAACACGGACATGTTCAATATGTAAACAAAAAACAGACATATCTGAGATGAACACCGTCAGATTTTGATATATCTTAATTAATTCCAGTTCATTTAGAGCAATTTGGTAAGTCTGAATCATAGGCCTAATACTGAGCTGAATTGGAACAAAAGGCGAGATTCAGCACGAGTCTCAGGATGACAATTTTAAAACTTTTATTTAAACTAACAATATTTCCCAATTCAACATCAGTTATCGTACCGAATCTCCCACACCACCAAAAGACAAGGATAAAAATATTACCCTACCCATTAGTACAATAAAATAAATCGCTGAAGATATACAGTATTATGTGTTTGCACGTGACCAGTAACCCAGGGGGAAATTATTTAAATGTAACTCCACGGCGAATAAGGGATAAAAGCTAAATAAATTACACTTAGGAGATAAATAATGTACAGCCTATTCAAAAGACTTGCAACAGAGGACAGACCCTCCGTACGCGTCGTTCACAGGGATGTAATGATCGCATCGCTTTGCTTCCTACTCGCTGATCCCAGATCAGGGGCTGACTGCGCAGGGAGCGGCAGCTTAGTCGCTCGCAGGGTAGGGATGAAGATGGGTGCTGTGCTGGAAACGCAAACCGGCGTGGATCCAGCTCCACCGTAAAAGCATTTGGGGGGGACTTCTGCCTGGCCGTCGCAGCGCCGTGACCGTGATCCGGACGAGGGTAAGGGAAGGAGAAAAGGAACGAGGGAAGATTGGGAAGGAGGAGCGCTCAGTCCCAGGTGTAGGGATCCGTGCGTATCTGACGCATGTAGGGTCTGGCATCAGCAGCATCAAGGTGGACTCTGAGCTCCATTGGTGGAGGTGTAGGGTCAGAGGGGAGTCAGCCTCGGACCATCGCGTCTTATTACCTTTCCAGCTCCGCATGATCTAGCTGCCGGACGGCGATCGGCTTGGCCGCTTTCATGTTGAAGTCCTCCTGCCAGCCCATGGCGGATCCTTCTCGTAGCATCATGCACGGCACCTGGTTCACCACCGGCTACAGGGACAGCTCGGCAGTGGAGAAGTCGAAGAAGAAGGCGTTTTATCTGGTGAAGATGAAGTCCTTTGGTCACAAGAAAGACTCCACCAGCGCCTCCACCACCACCACAACGACCAACAGCAATATGCCCTTCATGATTCACTGTCATATAGGCAAGGAGATTAAGCATATTTGCAGCAACTGCAGTCGCGGGAATAACGCGCAGGACGGTGAGTGAGCGTGCGGCTCCGGGGCCGGACCCCCATCGCTCTCTGTCGGCGTAGTCATAGTGCATCTCCTCCTTCGACGTTAAAACATTAGCATGTTTGTAACACTATTGTGAATGGGGCACAAACCATTTCATATAACGAGAATCCATTTTATTTTTGAATGATCCTCTGCTGGAAACTTATTTTACGGTCATGTGTTTGGTATAAGCAAGTGTGTTTTAGGGCGCAATTTGGCAAATGCAAACAATATGACGGAATTGTAGCACATCGTTTAATGCTGGAGTCGTATTAATAGTGTTTAAACTGACCACAAGCACAACTTACCCTTGTGTGTAGGCTATAGGCTACTCTGTAAGTTATTTTAAATGATTTTCTTTCATTTAAAATGTTATATGTTTATGTGTCATACCTGTAAATTCAAGTTACTTTTATTGATTATTTAAATTTCCCTTTTCGGCACGTCAGTCAGTTTGTCTTCATTGATTTCACCTAAATTTATCCAGACATGTCTGTTGTGGTTTAATTACTGCGGAAACGAAATGATTATAAGCTGAAAGTTGTGACTATCTATATATTTAAACGTCAATATATTTGGAGGACAGTTTTAATATTGCCGCATAGGATAATTTGAACATGATTTAGTGTGCAGTTGCAAATATTTTCCACATACATATTTATATAATGTGTATGTAAATCATGGACATGAAGATGAACTTCGGTTGAGTGGCTAACTTAAGGTGTGTTTTGATGGGCTTCACCCCAGCCATTCCTACTCCACTAGATTTCATCATATTACGTATCCTTCGGACTCAGTGGTTTCACATAACAGAGGATTAATTGCATTCCGACATTTGTATATTAACCGCTAGGCTTTGAACCGATTCTGTGTGGAATTTTTCTGCTTAATGTGACATTGCTGGGGGGGTGGGCTTTTAGACAGGAACACTGTAGTATTTAAATCAATCCAGACATTTTGTTGTTGTTCTAGGGCCTAAGGGATTTTTGTTTATTCGGATTCCAATTTTTGGGTGGCAGATATTCCAGCTCAAATTCTACAATGTAGAAAACACGAAAGGACACAATGGAGGATCACTGTTTAGTTTATATACTATGGCCTGCTTGGTTTTAAATTTAGGCTATTATATACTACAGAAGGAATGGTACGTATTAAGTTTTTATAAAAGATAGTTTAACTGTATACCTGTTCCGTATTTACCTACCACTTTCGTGTTACTGATTTACTAAATTAACATACATGTAAGATATTTAGTTTCAGCTATTGTCGCGTAGATGAAGCTTCATTGGTACGCTATTGTGGCTTATTGCAATATTACTGTTATAGCAAATTCGCAGAAATCAAAGTGAGCTGCTGACGGACATTTCCAGGCTGGGGAATTGAAACTTGTGCGCGTCTCGTTTTTTAAAATGGCCCTCCATCACCGGCTTGCAAATGCTTGTATTTCACGACACGGTTTCACTTAAATCCTGCGGTCTGGAGGCGAGGCGCAGCCTGGTAACGCCCGGACCCGCCTGGACTCCGCAATGCAGCGTGTCAATTGGCCGGGAGGAGACAAGCCTCCGTGCCGGAGATCGGATCTTTCCCCGGGCCTAATCCTCTGCCTCCCCCCGCCCCCCTCCTTCTCCGCCACCCCTCCCATCTGAGTCCCCGCCCGCCCGTCAGCGGGGAGGCTCCTGGCTCGCAGGATCAGGATCCAGCCGGTCCTCCTCTCCATCGGCAATCTGCTCCATTTAATGCGGAGCCGTGCAGCGGAGCGGGGCTGCGGGCTGGAGGGCGCCTTTCCGCCGCAGAGCTCTGCAACCCAGCGCCGCTCTGCACAGACCTCCGGCGGAAATGAGCCCGGAGCGCACTTTCAAAAACGCGGCGGCACCGTGCGCTATCTTTAATTTCCTAATCTGATTTATAGTCATGCGCTGAATATGCTGGTGACTTTCAAAATTCAATTAAGGTTGTCGCCTGCTATATATAAACAGCCGTTTATCTGTCATAACAACCCCGAAGGCCATGTCGCAAAGAAGTCATTTTTAAAGAGGTTTTCTTTTCAGCTGATAATGCGTATGTCTTGAAAAGCCGTTTCCGGCTTGTTAGGTCAGTCTGCCGTTTATATGGTCTTTCCGGCCTCGCCACTATAGGCTAGGTGTTTGATGACTGAAGAAAAATGAAACGTCTGCATCCTGAAAATGATTCATTTCAGAAATGAATGGGAGGCTACCAGCTGCTTCCTTTATCGGCTGTAAGAGTGAGGAGGACTTAATATTACCTCTCTGGGCTGTTCAGTTATTCTCGTTTTACTTTGAGAGTTTTCGTTTGATCCCGTTGTCCTTCGTTTTTTTGCAATCGTTCTCGATTATTGCCTTTGATTAAACGTACGGAAGAACTTTGTCCTCTCGCTTGGTAAAATGCAAAACCAAGTTTCTCGCCTCAAACTAGGCTTGAATGGTAGACACCTGCATTTCATGTTTCTCTGAAGGGGATTGGGGAACGGGCGGCTGGCAGGACTGGCCGATGATCCCCCTCCAGAGCGGTGGAGGGGAAGGAGGGATGTTGTTGCCATGCAGGAAAGGGCACGAGCAGAAGCTGACAGCTCGGTCTACAGCAGGGCCAAAACAACACGCTCATTTACACCGAACGGTGGGAGCGAGTGATGTAGAGCACATGAATATGGATGAATCAGGTCACTTGACTACTCACAGTGACACCCCTCCTTTCCACAAGTATATCCTTTGCATTTTGTTTATACTACTTGTCATATTTTCATCCAAAGCAAATCACATGACTGACTCCCCCCCCCCACATTTCAGTTGAGGGGTTCTCTCCTGAATTAAGCCAGGTGAGTGTTTAGCTCCAACCAGCTCATCACCATCTGGTCTTCCTCTTAAGTGTGTCCCTGTGCGTGCTGCCATAAAGATAGGCTCATGGTCAATTTTACTTGCACAAAAATGTTCTGAGGGCAGAATGAAAAGGTTCAGAATGAAAGGTTCAGAGAGAGTGAACCAATCAGATTGTAGTGGAGGTGGGTCCAAGCAACTAGAGGAAGCAGGATCAAAACATCTGATTGGTTGGTCCAGTCTCCTGTAGTTGCTTGGACTGACCTCCTCTGCAATGTGATTGGTTATCTCTTTGAACCAATCATCTTTATTTCTCTCCTCAGAACATTTTTGTGTAAGTAAAACTCCCATGAATTAAGGATTGCCTCTTTAGTAGTATTGCCTGACTTGGCATTTACTTTAATGGTCGCTGGGGGGGGAAAAAATGGCTTTGTAATATTTGGGAACGTGGTGGTGTGTATCTTATCTCGTCGTGAGACATGGAGCTGCATATGTAACGCGTGCGATGCATTCTGAGTTCATTATTGATGATGATGATGATTATGATGACGGCCCTCTCTCACCCCCGCTGTCCCAGCTGAGGAAGTGGAAAGGCTGGCCGCAATGCGTTCCGATTCCCTCGTACCTGGGACCCACACGCCTCCCATCCGACGGAGGAGCAGGTTCGCCACGCTGGGCCGCCTCCTCAAACCCTGGAAGTGGAGAAAGAAGAAGAGTGAGAAGTTTAAGCAAACATCAGCCGGTGAGTCCCCCCCACCCCCACACTCTTCAGGGGGGCAAGAGCTCCGAGTCTCCATGTGTAGAATGGCCCACCAGCCACGACCCACTTGTGCTTGAGTGTGAAAAAACCTTTGGATGCTGCCTGGCTTTTGGCGCAGAAGGAGCACTTCGGTAACATGAAATTTCCACTGGATTCTTTATTTATATTTTAAAGCCCCCCCCCCCATATTTGATGGCGATGCAAACATATCTACCCATAAGGCGAATGGTCGCCTAGCTCTGTTTTTTGCGTTAGTCATCGTTTCGCATGTGCTAATGTAGCTATTCTGAATGTAAAAATGTTGAACGGGAGGGTAGTGAGTATGTTTGAAGCAGCTTGCACGCCGTTCCTTCGGGGGTGGGGTTTGCAGGATCGCTAAACCAAAGACATGCATTTGGGGCAAATCGCAGGAGCCGGGTCCTGTAGGCGGAGCCGGTCCGCTCCTCGCGGCGGGTCATGTGACATCACAGGACATGTGTGTTTCCAAGTGCCTTATGGGAAGGGCTGACATTCTGGCAAGCAAGAGACGCAACTGAGTAATAGAGAGCACTGTGTCTTTGACGCTTCCCAGAGGGCCGTAAACGGGATGTAGCTAGGGACACTCACGGGGGTGGGGGGTGGGGGGAGTGTTTCTGCTGTGGCTGCATGAATGAGCATCTTGCTTGGGGCGAGGTAGACTGGATTTAGTCTCTGCCTACAAACAGAGGCTTGGTTTTTGGAACTGTCCAGGATCTTGTATGTTCTTGAAAACTGAAACGGATGCCAACTTCTCGACTGTGCATCACCTGGCCAGGAAGCTTCTAGGTAGGACGTGGTGAAGCAGATGTTGGGGGGCAGATAAACCCCACACTGGCTGTTTTACACAAGGCAGATATTTACCGCTCTTTCGTCTGTGGAGTTCAGGGGACTCTGTCGAAGGCCCTCAAAGATCTACGCTGAGTCTGTCTCGGCCATGTAGATGAATCTGCCCCTCGGATCTGCTTTTCGCAAAGGCCGAATTCGCCCCCCTCAGACGGGGGTCCTCATTTGTAATCCTTCTGCTGCACCGAGCGTGTGCGGTGACTCAGCCTGTGTTAGCTTGCCCACATTCCGTGTTTTATCCCCCCCCCCCCCCCCCCCCCCCACAGGAATCCGTGATTAGTTTTGCCGCAGCATCGCTTTGGAGACGGCCGTCGATACGAACGGCCGGTACAGATCCACGCTGAGGGTGCACGGTCTATATTTAGCTCTCCCGCTGTTTTGGATGTCTTGGGGGGGGGCGGGGTTAGCTCCATTCTCCTCATAAGCCACAGGCAGTTCTATCATTTTGGTGCAGTGGGGGTAGTATCTGTAGGATTCTAGCTTTTGAAGCATGCACCCCTCTTTTTAAAACAATATAGCGTGACTCTTTTGTTGCGGGAGATCGGGGGTGATATATCTACAGTGTTTATCCCGCCGGCTGGCAGGTGGCATACCGGAGGATAGTAGGTCACTCCGCTGATGTTTTTAATAAAACAGCTCACAGTCTTGCCCGATCTGGCACACCGTTCACACTCTCCCACCTAGTGACGGGCAATGCTCAACCGCGTGCCGTTTTTTTTTGGTGAATCGCTGTCGCTCAGGGTTACGGTGCCCCCCGGCTGTCACTGGCTGGCACGCCGGGCTGATTTTCCCCCTCGCATCTGAATGTGCCTATCGCCGTGGTCCGGGCCTGTATTTTCAGAAAACGTGGATCCAGGGAGATGCTGCTGGAATGTTTGGACTGCTCCGCTGGCATCTTGCACGCCTTTTCTCCCAGGATGAGGCAGACCTGCCTGTTGGGGAAGGGGCTGTTAACGTTGGCTGGCCTCCAGCCCTGCAGGGGGCGATCTCGCCCCTGGACCAGACCCTGACACAGGTGCACCGTGGCCTAAGGTTTACAAACAACTCGCACAAACGGTGCCATTTAAAAACTATAATGCATTTGGAACATAAAAATAAATCGTATAATTTACAATCTAGATGATGAATTCTGCCTATATTTACCTCATAGTAAAAGATGCTAAAGTTTGCATTTTTTGTACTTCGTATTTAGCTATAGCTATTTTTCATAATGCAACTAATCAGCTTTTCTATATTGAACACAAGATGGAAGTAGTGACAAATTTTTGGAGGGAACGTGTTTCCCGACCATAATGTCCGTTTTGGATGAGGCCAGCTGCTGCAGGTTTGGGCTGGTGCGTGGGGGGGGGGGCTGTGGGGGGAGTCGCTTCACTGCGTGCGAATCACCCCGCCCCCTCCGCTGCGTCACTGTTCACCTTGAAGATGCCGAGATCTTTGAGGTCCCCGTAGCCCCAGGTCCAGACATCGTCCTCATTTTACTGTAATGCTGCAACTCATCAGCTCATCTGGGCTTTACTCCTGTTCTAAAGACGTTAAATTTGACATAGGATTTTAAAAAAGCACAATCTTTCTTTGTGCTGTAATAATAATGAATTTGGAAAGAAATTCGCTAGCTTAATGAGTGTGGTCTGTGGTGTTCTCTTCTTAAAAGCATAAACATTTTACCAGAATAATTTTAATAAATAAGAGAAGTACAACAAACCTGATACTCATATGCAGAAACTTCTTTTGAGGAATTTCATCCTAAACCTTTGCACCAAGTCATCTGTAATTTTGGTGAAATCGAT